TTTTTTTTCCTTTTTTTTGTCTATGTCCTGTATTTTAATACTTGGGGCATGTAGATTAGAGATGGTGAGAGAAATCTGTTTTTAGTCTTATTTTCTCTTGTATTTTTCCTTCCTAGTACATGGAAAAAGAGGATGCAGTGAATGTCTTACAGTTCTGGTTGGCAGCAGATAACTTCCAGTCACAGCTTGCTGCCAAAAAGGGCCAATATGATGGACAGGAGGCACAGAACGATGCCATGGTTTTATATGACAAGTGAGTTTTATTGAACAGATGCATTCAGCATACTTATTGAGCATTTGATATGTGCTATGGAAATAAAGATGAATAAACTCAGTTTCTGCTGTCAAGGAGCTCATGGGGGGCAGCATAAAAGCTGCTTTCCTGTGGTGTGTGTAAAACTTTGGGGGTTCTTAAAACACAAGTTCTGTTGTGGAAGGGGAAGGTTCACGTGCGGCAAGCAGGACTGCAATGGTGGTGGTGTTCAGGGAGGGTTTCCCGAATCAACAATTTGATTGGCATCCTGAAGAATAAATTAAGTTTTGCTAGCCAGAGAAGGCAGGAAAGAACATTCTAGGCAGAGGGCACTGGCACAAGCAAAGTCATAGAACTTAGGGGAATGTGGCACTTTGAAGAAATGAATTTGGATAATCGAAGCGGGAGTGGGGAACATAAGAGGAAGGTGAAACTAGTTGGACTAGATTGTTATAGGCCTCGAATATGCGTGGGTGTTTTCTGGTGCAAATCTGCTGAGCCACGTCGCTAAATGAGTAATAGTTTTTCATTAGTTTTTACTGAAAATGAGGGCTTGGAAAAATCTTACAGTGAATGGAATTGAAAACATCTGCACAGACAAGTGATAAGACTGTGGCCAGCTCCACAGCACGTGGTGTTTTTCTTTTCATTTAACTTTTCTTACTCTGTGAAGTAATTCGTTATTTGTATCCACAAGCAAGTGCTAAGGGTGTAACTTGAGGATAGAGAAAAATCCATGGGATGTTAGGTTTGGAAGAAAGCCAAGAACATCTAGGCCAGTGGTTCCTGATCATTGGTCTGCAGGCTTATGCCGGGCCGTTTGCATAAGAGTCACCTGGGAGTTTGTTAAAAATAGGTTCCCAGTGCTCCTTTGTCAGAGGTTCTGATTCAGCAGGTTTGCAGTGTGACCAGGAATCTTTATTTTTAGAAGAAATGCCAGATAATTCAGATGAATAGCAAGATTAGGGATCTAGTTTGATTTTTCTCATATTGCAGATAATGAAACTAAGGCCCAGAGGGGTAGTGATTGTCCTCAAAGTCACAGGGCAAGTTAGTGGCAGAACTTGGACTGGAATGCAATTCTTTTTTTTCTTTTTTTTTTTTTTTCCCCTTTTTGTCTTTTTTCGTGTCCGGCAACGGATCGCAACCC